GGCAGGCGTGCTCTCCTAGCTGGATTGTACGACCGTAAGTAGAGGGCGTGCCAGCGTGACGGTCTTTCAGGATACTTTAGAATTGCCTTGAAGTTCGTTTGATACTCTATGTGTAAATGAAAATAAAGTGCAAGTTAGTAAAATAAAACGCAGTAAATGCAACAAGTGCTGCTCTAAAGTAATAAACTATTACTTACCTAGATCAAACTCGTCTCTGGAGACGAGACGTTTGCCTTCANAGCCCGTTCGAATCTTTCGTACTCGTCGCTGAACATGAAAATGCGAGTTGGCTTCTCCCTTTCGTACTGCCGGTGGGAGGCCTCCAGAAGGGACTCGGTGAACATGGACAGTGACTCGTTCTTCGCCAGCATGGTAGTGTCCGTGGACAGCATGGACTCGAGCAGGCCGGTGCCCTTTCGCTTGCGGTTGAGCCCTTTGTTCGTGGGCGACGTCTCATGGGCCGGATTATTACTGTCCGATGACTTGTTGTTTGAGGTGGACTCGGTTCTCGTTCTGCTCGAACTGGGAGAAGTGAATGCTGCTGCTGGTGTTGATGCTGCTGTTGGTGTAGCTGTCGTAGCTGGTTGCATATCACTTTCCTCTTCCCCTGGACTACGCCTAGCCACTGTCTGGTGGCACAACCTAGTCCGCCAGGAGTGGTCCCAGGCACGACGAGTGCCCTTGGCAGTGGCCAGTTCAGGCAGTGGACAGAGGCGGGCTGCCAGGGATGAGGCGAAACGTTCCGAGAAGTAGCCGTATATCTGATTGCTGTTATCGACTGAGACGGCGTCGTCGGCGACTTGAACCAGAAGGAGGGCGATTCCCTTCATGACCAGCTCGCCGATCAGGCAGATTTCACCTCGTACTGCAGTGCCAGCGACGTCCTGAAGGGCGGCCTGCACTCTGCTCTGCGTCCGGTGGTGAACCGTCTCGGTGAAGTACTCCTCAAAGGTGACACTTTGTCGCGTCAGCAGGAGTGGCAGGAGAAAGCGCAGACACACGTCAAAGCCCATGAAGCGGTGAAGTTGTAGAATTGAGTAGTCGACCGCTGCTCGCTCTGTCCAGCTGAGATTAGACCGGCCCTTGTGGTACTCGGCAATTTTGTTGTACAGCAGAGCGATAAGCTCATTCTGGAGATCGGAAAAGGGGAGGCAAAACCGGGAGAGAATCTGCCCGTAGAGCTGTGCAAACTGCGAGCGAATGTGCAGGGATTGATGGTACAGCAAGCTCAAGTCGCCACAGAGGCGAAGGTCAAAGGAGAGGGAAAGCAGCACTTCGGCCAGCCGGTAAATGGAATCACTGTGCAGTGCCCAGTGACTGAAGGACTGATTACTCATCAGGGCGCGTACTGTTCGGAGGTAAACGTTGTACGAATCCAGCTTTGTCTGACTGAACACCAGCGGGTCAATGTTAGCTCGAAAGGGAAACTTCTGCAGCGTCCGCAGAGCGGTCATTGCAAAGCTGATGAATCGGTGAAGAACTGGCTTCATGTGGACGCTCCTCGACAGGTCAAAGAACATCAAGTCGAGAAGAAGGCTTCGCTCGGAAGGAGGAAGGTGAGCAAACATGGTGCAGTTTATGTTGGCAATTGTGACGCACAACTGAGAGAAATACTTTTCCAGTTTAGCCGTCCGTTGATGATGTCGAGTTGATGAGTCGAGTGTTGCGCACACAAAGTTATCACAGATACATTTCTTCTTTTGTGGCCAGCGAATGGTGAAGGTTGAGGTTGCGGTTGACGTTCCTGCTGCTGCTGCTGCTAATGTTGTGGTAGATGACTGGCCATGAGGTTCATCACTCCGCCTAGCAATGATTTTCGAAGCGACACTCCGAAGATCCACTGTAAGATCGTCGCGAACGTAGACACGCGCTAGCGGGACGTAGCGGTACCTGAGACTTGCCCAGGTTTTTTGAGAATTATTATGACCTAAAATGGTATCACAGTCAATTTCTTGCAACGCTTTGGATACATCTTCCGTAGTGAGTTTGGTGCGACTGGAGTGGTGCATAAACTGAGCAGACCGGTGGATCAGCTCTCGCAGCCGAGCCACCATTTCCTGGCGCACCTCTTTGCTTGTTTGCATCGAGAACTCCATCTCCAGGTTACTGTGCTCGGCGATCACCTGAATTGAATGCCCACTGAACGCTGCTTGAGGACCGCTTTTGGAACTTCTTGTTGACAGTCGGCGCGACGACTCACTTCTACTCGAAGTGCCCGCCCTGTTATTCTCGTTGCTGCGGTTGTGGTTGAAAAGAATTGGAACATTTTCCCTGGCAATACCATTGGGTGGCAGTCGCGACTGAACATAGGCAAAAGTCTCCGGTGGTGCTTCGAACTCTTGTTGATCCGACTTTATCTGAGTGTCTGAAAGATTGGCCATTGTTTTCCAGGCAGAACTCGATGAAATAGGTGCTGGCCTTGGTGCATAAATCCGATTCACTCATCGGATTCACTCCATCGTTGTCGGCCTTCTCAGGTTACCGGTGTTACATAGTGGAGGCAGTTGAACAGAGACACAGGTAATGAGCTGATAAGCGGAGAACTACGGCGAAAGAGTGAAGTCAGGTGAAAGCAAAACAAAACCATTTGATAGAAAGATGAGGCAATGTGTGTGAATCGGGACTTTGCTCATAAAGACTGTGCGGCATCTCATCTGCGAATGGGCAACACACGTGAACTCCGGGAAGATTTGTTTTGTTTTGGTCGGAGGAGATTCATTTGGTTCATTGTGTGTTTTCCAATCTTCTTGAAGATCAATTTGAAGTATTTCCTTGCCGTTTGCATACTGTTTCCTTTACTGGTGAAGTCTAAATGAACCGCTTAACAAGGCGTATCGCCATCCAGGTGAGGCTGGCAGGAGGAAAACAGGCAATGCCTGTGATGCCGGTGAAGTTATCAGCAAATGGTGTTTGTCAAGCTTCGGCAAGAAGTTCTGGCGAACTTCTGACAGCGACGAGCCTAGGCAGACTTCAGAGAAACCTGGCAACGGTTGCACAGGTTCAGCCAAAGCCGACCATCTTCCGAACTGATGAAGCAGAACCGGCGAAGCACAACGACGTTCATCATGGCCTGTTCTACACTATTCCCAATGACACTGCTAGTCTCCTCTTTGTCCTGGGCGGCTTTGACAAGGAGCAGCAGCTGATGCTTAAAACGTTCAGAGAGACGTCCATTATGGTTCGGAAGCCAGCACTTGAGATCATAAACTACCTCAACAAAACCGACTTTAACAAGCCGCCTAATCGATATGTTTTGTGTAAGCAAATTATTTTTTAAGGTCATTTTCAACTAGTTGTTTATCATTTTCAGACGGACCAATTGGCTCGGGAAAAACTTATACTCTAAACCATCTTCTTCATTATGGATTCAGTCAAAAATTCGTTTTGATCTACTGCAGCAAACGTAATTATTTTCTACAACAGAATAAAAAAGATCGCTAACTATTGTTTTTGTATCTTCAGCCACCGATTGGACCAAGTTTCCGCAGGAGTACTCTGCTTCATCTGAAAATCCCAAACGAATCGACACGCCACTGGATGCGGCAGTTTGGCTGCAGCACTTCAAAGCTCAAAATTTAAACTTGCTCGAGGAGTTGAAACTTACATCCCTCAACAAGTACACCTGGAGTTTGCGAGAGCACACCAACCCCGGGGACAGTCTGATGTCCATCGTCGAGCATGGCATTAATCGAATTAAGCACGCCTCGGACTGTATGGCCGTCTTGCTGAAGGAGCTGAAGCTCAACTCTGAAAAGGGTAACTGTCGCCTGTTGGTCGTTGCTGACAAGGCAAATGCTTTCTACGAGCCAACATTGCTCCGCTTCCCTGATCGAACCTGTGCCACCGCTGATGACATCACCATTGCTCGTGCCTTCAAGAAGCTTTTCAAGAAAGACTGGGTAAGTTGAAAGACGTTAGAAGATCAAAAGTGTATTTACCACTGTCTCTCTTTCTATAGCAAAATGGAGCCGTCGTGGCCAGTGTTTGCAAGAAGCTTGTCGTGCCCTATCGAATATTTCCAATTCATGGACTGAAAAACCGAAGAGAACGCGAACGAGTGTACAAACACTGGGGCCCCTTCAATGTGGATCACATCAGCGACTACCCGCGAGATCTTCTCACTGATGAGGTTTGCCTTACATCTCCAGTTTTTTGTTTGCCAAATAATCATTTTCATGGTTTTTTCCTTTCAACAGGGCTTCCACGACTTTGACCCCTTTGTGCCGATCGAAGTGGAAAAGTATTCCGACAAGGAGATGGTCACCTGTCTCGAGTACTACCAAGACCGTCGATGGCTACAACGACCGGCGGCGTTTACCGAAGAAGGCCGAGAAGAGATCAAGTTCCTCTCCGGTGCGAATCCCTTTCACGTGTACGAGTTTTGCTCCAGCCTGTAAATAAAAAAGTCTTTCCTCTAGTTTTGTATTAAAAAGGTATATTAATAAAGTCCTAGTGAATATCAATTGATTAAAAATAATAAGATGCTAACTTTCCGTGAGTAGGCTACTCTTCTGGAGGACCTTGTACAGATCGCGGTAGATGATGTCCTGCACCAGCTCGCTGAGTGACAGCGTCGGATCCGCCTTCAGCCGCTCCTCGTACTGCTCGTACGACAGATTTCGACTGAGCACCTCAAATAGCTCATTGATGAGGTAGGTGCGCAGCATCTGCAGCCGCTTCTCCTGCCGGCGAGCCGCCTTCAGCCCGGCGTCCTTGTTCACCCGCTCCTCGATGAGCCGCCACGTCTCCTCGATGCCCTCCTTGGTCACCGCAGAGACGCACAGCACCGCCGGTCTTTCCGTGTAGTCGATGTACTTCGTGGCCGACTTGATCTCGCCCCGCATTCGCCGCGCCGCCCTGATCAGGTCGCCGTCGAACTTGGTCACGGCGATCACATTGGCCATCTCGACGATGCCCTTCTTGATGGCCTGCAGCTCGTCGCCGGCGGCCGGTGCCACCAGCAGCGTGAAGATATCACAGAGGTGGGCCACTTCGTACTCGGACTGACCGACGCCGACGGTCTCCACGATGATCACATCGTAGCCGGCCGTCTCGCAGGCCAGTATGGAGTTGCCTGCAAAAAAAGATAAGAGTTTCCCATTTGAGCACATTTTGTGAACAAGCTAAAAACGGTGGCGACTCTTCAAATTACCTGTGGCCTGCGTGACACCGCCCATATGCAGTCGTGAGGGTGAAGGTCGAATGAAGGCACTGGGGCTCTTTGTCAGCATGGGCATTCGCGTCTTGTCCGCGAGAATGGAGCCGCCGCGAATGGCCGAAGAGGGGTCGACGGCGAGGACGGCCACCCTCTTCTTCTTCTTCTCAATGAGGTGCATGCCAAAGGCCTCGATGAAGGTGGACTTGCCCGTACCGGGCGACCCGGTGATGGCCACTCGAATGGTGTCCCGCTGCAGTGAGTGGTGCTTTTGGTGCAGCTGCTGAATGAGGTGCATCTTTTCCTTCTGCTTCGCCGGCACGATGCTCTTCGACTCGAGCGCGGTGATGACCTTCGCCAGAACGGCCCGGTTGCCGGTGGCCAGACTCCTCAGCAGTTCACCAGTGGCCCCCATGATGAGAAGTGTGGCGGTGGTGGTGGTGGTGGTGATGATGATGATGATCAAACATCAAACACCTCGGTGGTTACAGATGAACTGAAGAGGAGGAGGGCAATGTTGCTAGTGGCAGTGGTCGTCTGCAGCTGTTGCAGTCTTCTCCCTCCTTCAATGTCCATGGCGTTTGGCGCTGTGGATAAGATATCGTGTGTAAGTGTGTGTGCGTCTGTGTTGCTAAAGAAAGTGGAAGGAGGTCGCAATCACC